AGTGATGCTGTTGCAAAATGTCTGCTGTTTCTCAGGCTAGTCTTCCTAGTAACATCTTTGTCTAATGTTAATCCTTACTTAAAAATATCTCATCATATGATATAGTTTAGGCATTTCTTACCAAGCTTAGCAATATCAAACATCAGTCTGGCTAATCCAGCTCCTGGAACAAGGATTGAAATATCCTTCCTACTGGAACGGCAATTAAATTACATAATCATTAGGTTTTAACATGGTTATCAGCACTGTATGCTCACTAAGAAAATATATTATTGTAAAGACCTAATCAGTGGTCACTAGCTGCTAATGGGTTTTTTCATAAATTACTGTTCACAGTTCTTTTTAGCAATTAAAATAAATTATGATCATTTGTTGTGAGTAAATGACTATATAGGCATAAAGTTTCTAAACCCCAACGTCCTGTTCTGTTAGGTTCAGTTCTGGTAAAATTGTAACTTCTTAGTAACAAAAACATTGTTTTTTTTAATGTCGTGTTTATTGTCCCAACTCTTGTTACCCAACACCTTTGACCTCCATCATCAGTAGTAGCTTTCAAAATATTATTTAGAATATTAATCCATTACTACATACCATTCTGGCACTGGAAAAAGTCTTAGAATTTCATCAATAATTGGTTTGTAGCAGGCATCGCGTTCAGATTTTCCCTGTTATCAAAAAAAGTATAAAAGAAGAAAGAAAACAAAAATTAAAGAATTAAAAAAAAGTATATAATCACCACAAATCTTAAAAATGTTCTGAACAAAAACAGAAACAAACCAAACATTTCTGACTCATGCCCTTAGAAGAATGATTATTATCTTACTTAATTCTGTAGACCAATCAAATCTGAAGTCATTTACAAAGTCAGTTGCTAGAATTACTGACAATGATTTTTTGTAACAATCACTTTTGACATTGTATGTTCACTAAGACTAATTATCAAATTCTCTCCTCCCCTGGGTAAGGTATCAAAATTAATGTGTACCCAAGAGGGGGTGTTACGGGTTCGATTTGACTAATACGGTATTACCTCATCACTCCAATCTCTAACAAACTGTTTCATTGTTGTTATTACTTTGTCCATGTCAAATCCACTGATTGGCTGGCTTGCGGGATCATTAGGAGCCTTTAGAAGGACATTAATATTAACACCAATCAAAACAACAATAAAACAAGATCATAATAAATGAAATTAAATGGACATGATAAATAAAGTAAGTAACTGTTAAATTCTACACGAGGAAGAGAAGGTTGTTGAGAGGGAGTACAGCATAGCAGATTATTAACATTAACATCATTATTTTCACAACAAATTGTCAATAGGAATATATCATAGAAATTTCCTTTATTTATGCACAAAGAATGATTTTTGTGTCAGAAATCACAGATTTCCATTTCAAGATTTGTAATGAAATGTTTCTTAGTTCATAAAACATAGATTTCCTAGATAAATACATAGGCCTTAATGTAGTTAAAAGTGTCCATTTTGCAAAGCAAAACTATGTATTGAGCTTTCTGTTTTATATCCATAGACCCTGAGCTATAAGTCCCCCCCCCCCAAGAAAATAAAGATCAAAGTCCCAACACATACGCATTTCCAGTATACAGTGTAGCATACTTAAAAGGTGTTTTAGATAGATCAAACATTCTGCAGTTCAATAGAGGAGGAAAAGAGATTAATAATGGAATGGTCCACCTAGAATTAGATTACATGGTGCTTTTTTACAGAAAAATATTTTTTTAAAAATATATAATACATCAAAATATTAAACAGCAAATAGAAAGTGTTCACGACTTACCCCACGAATTCTTGTACTATCTCTGTTTTCAAACATTTCATTTGTCTCACTAACAATTTTGAACAAGAACTTTTGATTTTCTTCAATGCACTGTTCTATTTTCTTGAGATGATCTTTAAAATTTGGAAGCATTTCCTTGTGCCTTCGAGGGAGAAACGTATAGTTTTCTTTGGTTCGCTGTAGCTTTCTCAAGGAGTATTCCCTGCAGGGAAAAAGCAAGAAGTGATGATGTTAAATCAGCAAAATGAGGCTGTGTAAAGGCGGGGTTGTCAAAAAGTACCCATTTCCAGTATACAGTGTAGTCCATGGGGTCTTCGTTTTAGTCCAAGGGTCTTCTTTTTAGTCAAAGGAGTCTTCGTGTTAGTCCAAGGGGTCTTCGTTTTAGTCCATGGGGTCTTAGGTCTTCGCTTTTGGGTCTTCACCCTAGCTAAGCTAAGGTCTTAAGAGGGAAGGAAAGTACGCGAACAAAGCAAAGGTAACTTACTTGTAGTATAAAAACGCTTCTATTACTTTCCAGAAATATTGCCTTTCCAGTTTCTCATCATCAGTTTCTTGACGACTTTCTTCATCGGAGAAATCTCTTGTTGTTCTTCCCTCCTCGGCATTTCTTCCACCGTCCGCCATATTACTCCGCTGACACTTCATGTGCTGGCGCCGTTTTTTATTCAACTATCGGGACATATTGTGGATTCTTATATGAAATCTAGGCAAGCAAATCCTAAAGAAAGCTACAAACGTTTTGCGAAGGTTACATTTATAGCTTTATGGCTTTATCTTTAGCCTTTTATATGCTGCTATAGATTATTTTATATTTTGCGCGATCGATTTAGTGGACCCAATGGCGACATTCCGCTGCAGGAAATGTCGCATTCTGTTGTTTTCTGTGCGCGAATTGGAGTCACACACAGTTAGTACCGATCAAGTTAATCAAGTAAGCTCAGATTTGGCTAGCTTTGACAAGTGTTCTTCATGGTTCCTGAAAGATAAGGATATACTTCCCTGGATAGCTGAAAGTGTTGAAGAGGTAGGTTTGCGTAAGGAATACTTAGACTGAACGAATCGGGGACTGTTGTATCCGCGCAGACCACAGGGTAGTTTCGAAAACGAAGCACTCGAAAACGAAAACCGAAGCACGAGGCACCCAAATCTAGAAAGTGAAAACCCTAGATCGAAAACGAAGCACCCTAGATCGAAAACGAAGCACCCAAAAACTCGAAAACGAAGTACCTAAAAACTCGAAAACGAAGCACCCTAAAACTCGAAATCGAAGCACCCTAAAACTCGAAAACGAAGCACCCAAAACTCGAAAACGAAGACCCCTAAAACTCGAAACCGGTCTGTCCTTTATAAACAGAGACCAATGCTAAAACATAAACATGTATGTGTACCGAAAAAATGCATATTAAGATAAGATGTATCAAGTATAGTGAGACTAATAATGAAATAAATACAGGATATCCTATCTAGAAACGTTCGGTTAAACAGTTGGCAGGCTTTTATAAAACCCTGGGACGGATTTTCTGGACCTTTAAAGGTGCGGACGCATCCACTGCCTCCACCTTATTTGGATCGCGTCATGCAAGACGTAAAGTTGTAGTTATTAAACCTACAGCAGTTTCGAGTTTTGGGTGCTTCGTTTTCGAGATTTAGGGGTCTTCGTTTTCGAGTTTTGGGTGCTTCATTTTCGATCTAGGGGTCTTCGTTTTCGAGTTTTTGGGTGCTTCGTTTTCAATCTAGGGGTCTTCGTTTTCGAGTTTTTGGGTGCTTCATTTTCGATCTAGGGGTCTTCGTTTTTGAGTTTTTGGGTGCTTTGTTTTCGATCCAGGGGTCTTCTTCGTTTTTGAGTTTTTGGGTGCTTTGTTTTCGATCTAGGGGTCTTCGTTTTCGAGATTTGGGTGCTTCATGCTTCGGTCTTCGTTTTCAAGTGCTTCGTTTTCAGAACTACCCAGACCACAGCTTACATCTAATTTAAGATGGCATTGCTTGAGTCTGGGGTAGGGATGAAACGTAGTTTATACAAAAACAAGGAATGACCTATAATGAGCTACAATAACCTACAATAACTAACAATGAGCTACAATGACCTATAATAAGCTACAAATACTACATGTAGTCAAATACAACTGATGTCCTACAACGAGCTACAAAAATGCGTGTTGGCGCCAGTCTGGCATTTTTGCCTCAGAGCCAATGACATTGCTTGGACGTGACACTGGGCTCCTATTTTCGGAGGAAACTTGCGAAGCACATTTTGAATAAGGCAAAACCAAAAGAGAGCCCGATCTGAGATAACTTGTGAAATGTTAGGTTTTTCAAAATAAATTATTGAAATGGCGTTTTTACGTAACATCTTTCTGAGAAATAATGTGATCAACACGTCACGGGCACAGGACAAAGAAAAAATCTAAGTCCCCAACGGTAATTGTACCTATGGCCTTCTGAACCTATGACAGATGGTAGGTTCAATCCCTATTGGGGACTCAGTTTTTTTCCTTGTCCCGTGCTCGTGATATGTTGTTCACATCATTTTTTTCTTATTTCTTCACCGAGCTTAAAATTCACCAAATCCATCTTTCTTTATTTATCACACACATGACAATTTTGATTGTTGATCCTGTCAGTATGCACCAACGCATGTCATACATGAACCTTGAATATGGCTCAGCTCACTACGAGTCCTTCATAGCTCAGTGGTTAGAGCATTAGACCAGTGTACAGAGGGTCATACATAGGTTGGATTCCAGTCAGGGACTCAGATTTTTTCTTTGTCCTGTGCTCGGGACATGTTGATCAGATCATTTCTCATTTCTTCACTGACCTTAAAATTTACCATCATTCTTTATTTATCACAACATTACCCTGTATTTTTTATGAATCACTCAAAAGAGGAATTGCTTGGCTTTTAGCGTTTACAAAGGCTTGCTTGGCTTGTCTGTCACCTAAGTGGTTTGTTTACGCCCCGTGAGAAATTTTTCTCACAAACCAACTATGCGACAGACAAGCCACGCAAACGACTTCGTAAATGCTAAAGTGATGCAAGAGAGAAACCTCTACTCACAGGGTAGGCATACCTTGAACTCAAAGTATTGTTCTTGTACGAAAGTGTTTTGAACGTACATGTAGAAGTCCAGAGAGCTGATCAGTTCTAACCGCAACTTTTTTTTTCTTCAGGCCCAATGGACAGAGGGAAAAATATACTGCCCTAAATGCAAAAGTCGCATTGGAGCATTTGACTTTATTCATGGCATTCAGTGCAACTGTGGAAAATTTACCATACCAGCTATCTGGATTCAGAAAAGCCGAGTGGACCACGTCTTACCTAACAGCCAGATAACTAATTTACATATAAGATACCCAGTCTCTTTTGACCCATTAACAGAGGTGCATTTAAGCAACATTTCAGAGGAGCAAAGAAGAGTAACTGAAAATGATTGCGAGTTACTTCTACTTGAAAACGTCTGCAATTCTGAGATCACATCCCCAGAGTATAAAAGTGAACAGCTGGGTAGGTAAGAGATGCTTTGTCAAAAAAAATGGTTCCAATACAGCTGTAGATGAGAATACAAGAAGTGTTAAGAAAACTTAAGGTACATAGTGCTATCCAGAGTAATTGGTGTCCCTAATACATATCAGCTGGATATATAGAATACTTCATGGAAAGTGTGGGCATACGTGATTTACGCACTCATTGTTTTTGTATCAGAAATCTCACTCATTTGCTGTGCTCACTCGTTCGTTTTCTGATACAAAAACAATGAGTGCTTATATACCGTACAAAGCACTTCCATGTTGTATTGTGTTTATTATATACATACTGAGACATTCATCATGCAGCCTTTTTATTTCAAATCTTTCCAAAATGCTTAAATTTGCTGCTTTGCACCTTGAAATGACAAACAAAATGAAGCTTCAGCTTATGAGTAAAAACAGTTGTTAATAATATTTATATTTAATGAGGGTAAGGATAAGAGGTAATCCAAGAATTGCAAGGAGTCATAAAGCCCAGCAAAATTTTGTTGCATATAATTAAAACAATATTTTGTTTTATTTAATAGTCGGCTACAGTGTATCTACTATGAAAGTGTGTGAACCATTGTTTTTGTACTTTAAAATACAGATCAAACAAATCCCTCTGCAAATAGCACAATTAAAGAAATGACAAAAAATCATGTCGGACAGAAATGGAAAAAGATTAGAAAAAGGCAGCATCAAACAAGATTACTTGAAGACAGTGCCATTGATTTGCACGATGAGATGAAGAAAGATCTAGAAGCCTCACAGGTAACCACTGGTTCTGGAAACATGTACAAGTGTTTAAGAGTTGATGATGGGTTTGATAGATTTCCTATCAGGCATCAGGTATGAGCAACAAATTCAATATGTGTACATACTGTAGGTTAGACTGCAATATTGCATTTTTATAGATGTTGGCTCTCACTGATTTGTGAAATACTTGACCGGGTAGCAACACAAGCAAAAGCATGAGTACAAGAGTTCTTATTCCACTGCACAACAGCTAAGATGCAAGCCTTATGATTGTCCCCTTGTACCATTTGCATCTGTGAAATTTTCAGCTGACACAAGATTCTCCTGCTTACACTAGGGCTTGCATTCATCTTCTGTCAATTGTGAAAACCAGCTGAGACATCTTTGACCCTCATGTACGGCCCTTAGTAAGGCTGTGTGGGAGTATATCTTTGACCCCACCTCATTCATTAACTCTGATGATGTGAGAATTGAACTTGCTTGCTATTAATGATGTTCCAAAAATGAGCTGTACCAGTGAGCATACCTTGACACACTTGAGTCTAATTTATCTTCGATGGACACTCCTCAGTCTGATTATACATAGTCTGATTTTTCTTTTAGTGTGAATCAAAGTAATAATTTAAACTCTTCTTCATGGACCATAGACAACTAGAGGGGCCACACTCATGCAATAAAGAATATAAAGCATGAAGCAGCTAGAATTAACACAATCATGTGCTCACACTTCCTAATACAGTGACCCACATATTTCAGTCTCAGTTATTTTGTATTCTTGCATTTATGTTTGCATTTTACAGGTTGTTACACATGAAATTCAGGACCGTCATTGTTGTGCTGTCTGTCTCGATCTACTTTATGAGCCATTTAAGTGTTCTTGTGATCATGTTTTCTGTGACCCATGCTTACGTCAGTTGAACTTTAGAATTGGCAGAAATGGAACCATCAGTTGTCCTTTGTGCAGACAAACAGTTGAGCACGTGACTCCTGCCACAGGTACCCCAGCCCTGTTTGTGTTACAGGTCAAAATTAAATTCAGATAAAAATGTTTTAACCTGGGTTGATTCTCAATTTTTTTCGTTTTGTCTCCTAGCCATAATTCATGATTAATTAGGACTAGGAGACATTTAGGAAAGAGAATCGACCTAGATTTTAAAAAAGATTAACCTGAATTTACATGTACAGTGTAATTTTGACCTGAAGCATCTGCATCTCAGCTTTGTCAACATTATTATTTTGCTAAAACTGGTTTTGTTTGTTAGACCTTTTACCTGTCTTGTGGTCCCCATTCTTTATGTCAGGAGCCCATCAGGTGATGGGCTCCTTTTTATGTATATTTTTTTCAATATTATTTTATAAATAAGGTTCAAACGCATTAACAGAACTGTTGATGAGAGAGAAATGTAGAATTTTCAATGCTTCCTGTCATTAACGGAAAAACGCATAGCCAAAAAGTTTGAATCAGGCTTAGAATGAAAGGTTTTAGAGTCTCCAATAACTTTGCAATCTTTTTTATCTACACGTTATGTAAAAGGACTTGTTTTAATTTACGTTTTAATGTTGATTCATGAAGGAGTATGGAAAAAATGGCCAAAGTAACATTTTAGTGCTTAAACGTTCATAATTTTTTCCTTCTTTTGTGACTCTGCAAGTTTGTAATAACACTACTCTTTAAGAACAATACAACTCAAACTGAAGTGCCTGATATTCTCTCTCGTGTTGCTGTTATGTTTTTTCTTTAGAATTAAGAAGTGAGATAAGGAACACTTATGAAACGCACATTCTCAGGTAAGACCTCATGAAATAGGTGATTACATGATTGAGCCTGGTCGAACAAACTGTCGTTGTTTAACAAAATTACGTGTATTATAGCAAACTCGTGTTCAAACGACGAGAATTTCTTCATTCTTAGACTAGCACGTCATGCCATACGGTGTGTGATTTTTCGTTAATACTTGACACTGAATAACTCAGGACAATGCATGTATGTCTTGTCATAAAGGTAGCGTTACAAGTATGGTTTTCTGCTGCTTTCACAATTTAGCAACAACGTTCTTTCTTACTGTATGGTGTATGTTATTTCTTGCTCTAGGAGAAGACTAGGAAATGTATTATGTGTCGTAGCCCCTCCCCCTTCCCCACTACACGAAAGGTTTCGCTTATTTTGGACCGTGAACCAGTATATTTGTACCTCTTGTAATGTGCTGTACAGGCTTGAGGTGTAGCTGTAGCTGGAGTACTAAAAGGGACGGCTGTTCTTTAGATATCGTCATGTCACCAGCGTGGAAGAATTGGCCGAACCTATGACCTTCCAATCACTGTTAGGGCGCTTCCTCTACTCTTCTAGAGACAGAGGCCATTTACAATATTTGCAGTTTCGGAGAAGCTGTTTCATGAAGTACATATTCTACCTAATAACAAACTGGAAATAATGGTTCTCTGAAAAGGAGAGGGGTTTGGATTTTTGGGCAGATTATACATATATAACGGGCACAAAACTGACTCTCGGGAATTAATGAGTCAATTTACACTATGGAGTTACCGTTAGAATTTCTTTTTCCCTTAGGAAACGTGAAAAAACCGAGCGCCGTGCGTCCTACAGAAAGTGGCCGCTTCCTTCAGGGAACTTGCCTTCAAGGAGAGTTTCATCACGTACACATAATATTTCCGTCGCCGCTATTCTAGATACCTGTATTATAGTAATGGTATGCGGATTCCTGTTATTCCTTGTATTAACGGTAGTTGTACAAGTTCCATCTGACTGATAGATGTTCAGTGTTATTATTATATATTGGCTGAGAAAATGTTTTAAGAATTGAATAAACTACTAGTTTTAATGTAAAACTGAGTGCTGGTGTTAGAACTGGGAATGTTTCTTGTAATAAGAGCTACAAATACACTTGTATAGAGGGTGCCGCCGCGAAAAGTGCGGCTACAATACACCATTCTCATGATCTTCGTAGTAAATTATTTGACCCGAAAGGGGCGAAAGCGTGTTTTTTTTCTTAAGACCACGTAAATATCTGGCTAAAAGGTTAAAAGAGAAGCTTCCTAATTCCTGCTGGCCGCTAAATGGCGATGATACACAAAAATAATGAAAAGCAGCGGTTTCTCGCCCAATATGAGCAACGCTAGGGCATAACCTTGGATCCAGCCAAAAATAAAAATAAAGGTTAAAAGGCCACCAGTAAACTCACCGTAAACTAATGTTGGGGCAAACATGGAAGGCGCGGAATATGCTGAAGCAGGAGCAGATCTTAGCACCCGCGCTCTTTACGAACAGATGAAAGATGAGACTCTGATCGTTCATTCTCTCAGCGTCATAAATAACGAGTGTCTAGAGCTTTCCTACGACAACATCTTGGAAGATGCCGCGGTAAGTGCGACCACCAACGCCTTCCTACCTGCTTTTACAACCTGCTGGGCAAGATGGCGCTTGTACTACCACCTGGACTTCGTGGATCGCAGTGTCCTGTACTTCGTCAGAGACTCTCTCATATAAATATGGTGGCCAGCGTAACCCAAGATCCCTCTTGGAAACTTCCGTTCGCAGATCGATGACAGATGAGTCAGACCCAGGTGATAGTACAAGAGATTACATCATTGAATTTCTATCGTATGGATCTACATTTAAGCGAACAGAGGTAAAAAAGGGAGATCGGAACTCAAGATCCGGAAATAAAGCACAGGAACCGTTGGCCGAGCTGCGCAAGATTTATTTCCCCATCTCCTATTTTATCGCTCTCAATATTCTTTCCAAAATACGGACCACAGTGAGAAGGGACAAGCAATGAGGAGTGGTCTACCAGAAACGCGTCATCAACCGCGATACCCTTGAGACGCTCCGCTATGGGTACAGCTGATTCCCCCCGGACGAGTAAAGGTGTTTGTACGTTTCGGTACTGAAGTTATTTTTCATGCTCAGTTTTCACAAAAGTGTTACTAAGATATTTTTCCTGACGAGAGTGATTGCTTGCGTTGTGCGTAATCGTGCCCTATACAACCTACAAAATCTCGGATTTTTGCTTATGATTAATAGAGTATTGTCTCGCTAACCCTCGTAAAACGGCCTGAAATTAAAACGTGGAGAGAAAGAACGACAAAAAGGCGTCGATTGAGCTTGAGCACGGCAAAATGTGAGTTCGGGAAAAATGGGAAGGGGTTTGGGAGTCATCAGTTTTTAGGGGTTATTTCGCGAAAGAAAATAACGTGATTTCAACTCGCTGTTGAATATCAACAGCAATTCTTCAGAAATTTATTTACAGTTACCAGAAAATCAAATTTACATTTTCGCGAATGTCCTTCATTTCCCTGTCGTAAGAGCATTTATTTTAATGACGTATTTATTTTTTCTATTATTTAATTATTTATTTATGTTTTCAACCATGCAGGGCTAGTTTGAAAATGCTCTTAAACCAACGCAAAGTTCCCGCATATTGTTGCTTGTCCTTTATTTCCCTGCACTGTTTGCACCTAGTGCAATGACGTCATCGGACCCTGCTTAGTCCATTGTCAATACTAACCATAAATTCTCCCAAAATTAAGTTACTTAGGACATGGTCTGCAAAGACCCAACAAAACATGTATTCTGCAATTAATATAATCAAGCAAGGTTAGGTTTGAGGCCAACAGGCGAGAAACCCTTAGAATGCGACTGTCATAATATCTAATATCACCAAACAAGAAAAGGAAGAAATATTACAGTGTAATCATCTTGATCGGCCAATTTAGAAGGTGGTTGGAGAATGTATTTCTATTTTTTTTATGAACCTTTTCCAAATTACCAAATTTTCTGTTTAGTGTATACAAACGTTTTACTTTAATATTGAACTAGTAGCTTTTGTTTGTGTTGTCATGTGACATATTGTGGACTATTCAATTAGTCGATCATGTCCCATTTTAAATTTGTTGTCCTTTTATGGCTCATGCAACTTCTTCGGCTATAAAATCTGCAAGAGCTCTTCGAATTCTTTCTCTAAGCTCTCGCTTGTCCGTGGATGCTACAATCTCTCGCAGCATGGGGGATTTCTTTAATTTTAGTTCTTGTTCTTCGATCACCGACTTCCTCAGGGGAAGTTTGTCCACTATATCCTCCAGCCTTTTGATTGCTTCAGCACGAATTCTCTCTTTGTCGCCAGGATGGTCTTGGGCGAATCTAATCATTTCCTGTTTGACCTCGTTAATTCTCTCTGCGTAGCAGAAGACGAAAAATGTGTTTAATACACTCAGAAGCATGCGTTGTCTGCTTTTCACTTATCTCTTAATGTTGACTTTGGCAGAGAACAACAAAACTCCTACCACGGGACAGGGGCACCCAACGCGGTCAATTTTCGCAACATATCTGTTCGCAAACGATTTGAGATCTAGAATTTTCGGAACATTTGTTGTAACATTTTTAGGGGATAAAAATATGCCTATATCTACCTTTTAAATACTAAAGTACGTTTAACAATGCTATGTTTAAGTGGTTTTGAACTGTGTTTTTGTTAGGTGCCCCTGACGGGACATTTTACTCTTTACCCATCAAATGCATTTTAGGTTTATTTCTCGTTTTTTAACTCTGTAGGTTAACATTGTCTATAAGGAGTAGTCTAATTAATCTTGGTAATAAAGTTAGAGGCTTTCGAAACACCAAGTGGTTCCAAATCAAAGGCTTTACCCATCTTTCAAGGAATTTAATACTGGCAATGCATTTTGCTAGGTATGTCAAAATCAATGGCGTTGCCAAACCAATCGAAAATAATCGTACAGTAAACGAAAGTGCTTTACATTCAGGTTATTCATTCAGGCATTAATGCATGTTGGATGATAGGGGAAAGGTGATACGAACGAGGGCCGAAATCAATCACACTTACTTCTAACGTAAGTAATCTCCGCGTCCTTGATGAAAGCAGTTTCTTTTTCAAGCAGCTCAGATTTATGCTTGTCACTTATTTTGAGGTCCTCCATGAGGTCCAGTGCCAGCTTAGCTGCGATGGCTTTATGATGCTCCGGAGTTAACCCTCCCACTTCGGTCAGGGCGTCGGCGTACCCCTCAAGTGCTTCGACATCTGTTAAGAAAACCAGCTTTATTATAATTTGTCATTATCGTTATCGTTAGCATTATCTTTACCAGTAAGCTACTGAAACCTTACCAACCAATGAATGCTAATGTTATAGTGCCTATCACACTATTTCCAATTACATGTTAACTCGGTTCCACATATGACACTATTGTTGATGGGCCGTACGAGGTTTAATATTCATTTGGTACTTTTGCTGTGCTTGTTTTTGTAAAATCAGACTCGTTTGCGGCATATGAGTACTGAGGGTATTCCACATGACACCATGGTAGCCATACTTTTCCCAAACTGTAAAAAAGCACTCATGTTTGCTGTTACAAGCCAACTGTGTGGGAGTTGAACTCTTTTCTTATCGAAACGCTTTCTTTTGTTCCAAGAAATTTGCATAGAGGCTGGTTATGCGGCTGAAAACTCTCGGACGTTGTCGTATTTGCCAGATAAAAAGTTTACGTATTTTAAGCTTAAAAACGATCAAAAATATCAAATGGCAATCGCGAAGGATATATGGCTATGATGGAAATGAATCTACCCCTTGTAGGCTGTTTACATTTGCGGTGAGAGTAATTAGTTCGCCAGCACCATGGCGATATTCAATATTATTTTGATACTCGATATTCGATATTTGATTAAATATTTAACCATACATGACAAGTATAAATTGAAATTGTGTTGTAGCTCTGAGGAGCAATCACACATTGTTACCTTTGTCGACCTCATGGCCACCTTGCTTAGCGTTCTCTGCGGGTAGGGACTGCTTTAGAGAATCGGCAAGCTTTGCGTGTGAAGACAAAAACAGATCATTACACTTAACGAGGCAGCATCATAAAAACTATCCCAATTTTGCTTTTAAACTACGCTGAAATTATGATGGTACAAAAGAAACACCTCGATTTCATTCTTCAATGTGGGAAAAACAGGTGACGTCAGGGCGGCCATTTGATGGTGAAGAACAAAAAAGCATTCGTCCCCTCTGGGAGCTAAACCACATTTTCACGAAAATGATGAAAACGAATTATTGTAACATTGTCACGTGATTTCATACCAAGAACAGTTTTGCGCTCTTTTCCTAAAAGCCATGAAAACGTCGGACCAACTCGTTCAAGTTTTTATAACTATCTCGCCCTTCAAAACGTCTTACGTGCAAGAAACTTCGCAACAGTAGTATAGTGGTAACCTTCAACAATACCAGACCGCTTCAATTGGAGTCCTATTTATCAATTACAGAAAAAAAGTGCTTAACCTTTCCCATTACAAATTGTATTCAGACAACACACAGCTGTTCAAAACGCTGCCATGACGTCACCATCAATGCAGCTGGCTAACAGCTAATAGAGTTTATCGTAAGGTCCACAGGCGCAGGGAATTTAATTTTTCATTTTATTGAAATTCGCCACGGTGACTCAAAATGGTGACAGGGGATAAAACGTGACTATCGTAGGATATCAACCCCTTCATTACCCACCCAGCCCATGAAAGGTTGTACTACCCCATCGGTGTCTATACGTCCCCTACTCTTTACGAACAGCAGCGTGAATTCTTTTACTTCCCACAAAAACCAGGACAGTGAAAGAGCTATGACAGGGAGCCTACGAGTTTTCGTCCTTATCCAAGAAGACTAGAATGTCTAACCATTTGTAGATGTCACAACAAAGGCAGCAGGTCTACTGTTCGCTTGTCAGATCTGTACTCGAATATGCAGCAGC